CTTCCTACGGTAAGTAATCGATGTTGTCCGTTGGGCCGTCCCACCATAAGGGGGAGGACCGTGAGTAAGTAATCATTGTATTCCCTTCTGACTTGCCGGAGGAGTAGTAACCGGACTGACACTCCCCAAAATGGAAAGGAGCTAGAACTATAAGGTTCTGTTTTTTGTTTACAAAAAAAAAGGGGGAACACGGGCCAAACAAAAAGGAAAACCAGAGGGGAAGAAGAAGAAGGCAGGGGATCAGTCAATGGATCAGACAACGTCCTAGATCCAAAAAAGCACAAGGGGTGGAATCGCCAAAAAACAGAACCAGCGCCATGCACGTGGATACCTCTCCGCCTGCAAAGACAATGGAAGACAGCCAAGCCATATTAATGGAGGAGGACTCAATCAGCTCCTTGGAATGGCTCGACATATACGTCACCTCCTTGAAATCCCGCTGAGAACTGGACCTGGAAATCAGGCTGGGACATGCCAGACACATCAGCAGCCTCTTTTTTTTTTTTTTTTTGAGAAATAGCCCTTGTGATATCCCTCTATCCTGGTGGTGGTAAGAGAACCGCCAGAATTGAGGGCTTATCTGTCGGGCTGCTCCATCTATTGGTGGGGAGCAGCCTCAAGGAGGCTACAAACTCAGATAACCTGTTCGGTTTTCCAAACTCTCCAAATCTATATGAGGCTCTGGAAATAGAGAACAACTTCTCATAATTTTTGGCACAACAGTGCACAGACAAGAGTGACGAAGGGATGGAGGCCAATCAGATAGACACAGTCATCCAAACAAACTAATGGCCAGGCTCATACCTAGGGGAGGAGAAAGGCAAAACACTGCAGGAAGAAGAGACCACCACAAAGACGGAAGGTCAGGGAGAACGGGGAACAGAAAAGGAGAGAATGAAATTGCTAGCCAACGAACTGATTAGTCACAAAAAGAATCAGAAAAAGGAAAAGATGAGACATATTGCCATCCTAGAGAGACAAACAAGACACCTAGAGGAACAAAACCAGGAACTGGGAAGTGTCTCTCTCTCCTTGAACATAATTGCAGGCGAAACCTCCCCAGACCTGGCAGTATCAGCGAAGATTGACACCATTTATCTCTCACGCTCAGCCCCAATCTTGCCCTTCTGTTTCAACTATGAGAAAGGCGAGTAGCAGATCGCTGTTCGACCTTCCTTGGTCACAACACAAGAAACTGAGGAAGTGACCCAATTCATAAGGGCAAATATTTCAAACCAGCGCCCATTGCTTATCTGCAAGACCTGGCAGGATAAGAACCTGGATGTGGTATGGGAAGACGACAGTGGAACATCACACTTCAGGAACCCAAGTCCAATCATGGCAATTTATGATCAGCAAGTTGTCTTGAGGGACAACCTGCAATGAAAGCCTTTGGATTTGATGTGTAAAATCCCATACACCCTTCTGGGCCACAAAGACGAAGTGGACAGGATCGCAGACAACACGACTGCTTTCATAGACAGGAGTGGTTGGGCAAAAGCGAGGAGTCGTCTTTGGAGAGGATGAAGATGGAGAAAGAAAAGAGGGAAGAGAGGAGAACCTCCGACGCAGCCTCCCAAACACACTACTAACTCCTAGTCAGGGATAACCACACCAACCCCCAATGAAAAACTCGTTGGATGGTTCCCTGGACAGAGGAGTTGGACACAGTCCTAAGAGATTCAAACCCACTACGGAAACAAAGATCTTAAAAGATATCAGAAAGCAACTAGAACTATCCATTCTATCATGGAATGCCAATGGACTTGCCTCTATTCTGGACAACCCCATCAAATGGAAAAATTTGACCGAAACTATGGCTTGGTTTGGACAGAACCCACCAGACATCACATGCCTACAGGAAACTCACCTTACCGACGATGAAGAACACAGAGTATCCAAGCGGCAGTACTAAGGAAATTGCATTTTGTCAAATCTGCACACTGGGTCATCGTAGCACCAATGGCTCGGCTGGAACGATCATCCTTTTTCACCAAAAGTCCGCCTCAAGCGACAACATAACTGTCAAACCCACAAGCCAAAATGACAGGACAGGTAGATGGGTCAAGATTGATATCAAACTCAAAGAAGAAGACATAACCATCCTAGGCATATACGGTCCAAACACATCACAGGAGAAAACCCCCTTCCTCCTCTCGGTGGAACAACTTATCCCCACTCACTCTCATTCCATCATCATGGATGACTGAAACTCGATGCAAGACCTCACCCAAGATAAAATTTTGAACTCACAAGATCCCTTGTCACAGTCCAACAGCGTAGACCCAGGTAACTTCATCACAAGGAAGAACCTAATAGATCCTTTCCATCTCCTCTCGCCAGACAGAAAATGTGTTTCCTGTGTTAGAAAAACCTACCTTGGTAGAACCTCTCTGTCAAGAATAGACTTCTTCCTCACCTCCGAATCCTTATCAGGAGAAATATTAGACTGCAAAAGAAAAAAACAATCCCTTCTACAAGGGTCAAGGCAACGATCAGTAGCTGATTTAAGAGGATGATCAGCCACACTGGGACTGAGACTCCGACCGCCCTCCTATTCGAGGATGACCTCACAGTTCTAATTAGGGCATCCAACTCATCATTCGGTGCGTTGACAAGAGCAATACAAGCCTTTCAACTAGCCTCAAAAATGAAAGTGAACTGGGCAAAAACAACTGGGTGGTGGTTCTTGGAACCCCCCCCCCCCAATAGAACTCACACTACAAGGGATGCGTTGGGCAGATTTATCTGCCCCAATCCGGTTCCTAGGTATCAACCTCAACGCAAAAGGATGCCACAACTCGTCACCGCATCCGTACTTTCATCCATGATTAACAGAATGCATACATGGAAGGGTGTTCACACTTCATTTGCTAGGTAAAATTATATCCCTGAACAACTCTATTCTAGCCATGATGTGGTATGCTACCTCCATATGGTTCCCCTCAGTCAATTTCCAAAGTCAGATCAGGAAAAACACAACAACTTTCCTCTGGACAGGAAATACTGACAACCAACACTTCATTCACAAGGTAGCCTGGCAAGTAGTCATGCAATCCAAGGCTAAGGGAGGCTTAGGCCTCCTAGATCCGGCCCGACAGATCCAGGCCCTTCAAATCAAGTGGGTCTTAAGAATATCCTTCCAAGACAGCCGACACTGGGAACCTCTAACCCTTAACCATATTAGAGAACTACCCCCATTTGAATCTCCTAACAACATGCGAGGGATTTTTTGGATCTTCAATAAACATTGGTCACAAACAAGAACGAAACCGCGAAATCCCTAGGGTCACAGATCCTACAATACTCGATAACATTTTCCCCAAGAACAGGATGGGCCCCAAAAAAAGAGATGTAGTACTCGGACATCCCCTCTTCGGAAACTCTTGGATTACAAGTGACAAAGGAGAAAGCTTCCCTCTCTCAAAATCAGAGGCCAAATGGGGTCACTGGCTAGAAAAAGGAATATGGCAAATCCTACACTTTTGGGAGGACACAACCAACACATGGAAATCTGAAAAAGACCTAAGGACAACACTGGAAGGGACTCACCACCTACAAGAAAATATAAACCTAATCATCGAGAGCATTCCTATAGAGTGGATACGTTTACTACGAACGGAGCAGAAATGGCAATATGGGGAGTGGGCAGTAACAATGGCTCAGGGAACTATCATTGAGGCCCTAAGATTCAAAACCTACGAGAACCAGAACAATGAATGGGTCTGCTGCGATATATATTTACCCTTGATGAGCCACTACACGCGCTTGGTAAAAAAACCAAAAGCAAATTCAAAACGCCACTGACAAAAGGCCGGAAATAACCCAAAAATCTGCAGCCCTTAAATTAGGATCAGGACACCTAGGAACTATAATGAATGGAAGCCTAACCCTTAAACCACCAGTACTTCCTGAATTCGCTCCGCGTATACGGCCAGCCAAAAGTGGAAACCGAGCCGTTGAAAAAAAAACATCCCAGTGATATCTTCTAACGGGACTCTAGTAGCATTGACTAACTCTGGATATAGCATAATCTTCTTTATTTTTTCATATTTTTGAATCATCATTCTCATTAGCTTCATTATCTATGGTATTATCAGTATCATCAGTATCATCATGGTCATCATCATTCGAGGGTCGCTAAGCCCGGTTCTCAGCATTTTCCGTTCGATCACTCCGGGCAGACTGTGAGGACCCCGGCCTCAATCTTATTATTGGAAATATCAGCCTTGGGCACCGGGCCCGTTTTGATTAAAAATAAATAAAAAAGAGAGAGTAAAGCATATGCTTGTGCAGGTGCAGATCTTCACCTGGGTCTCATGCTGACTGCTCTCTAGTTTTGCCCTCATTTTTGTAAATATGTGGACTATTTGACATTTGTCCTTTCCCCTCTCTGTGCACAGAAGGCATGACCCACACCTGTTGCAGTCTGCATGTTTCCTTCTTTCACGCAACCAAACAGATTAACTGGGTGTGCAGCATAAGCTGTCAAATTGTCAACCACCGGAAACTCGAAAAAAGAAAAGAAAAAAAAGAACGACAATACCTACAAGGCTCTTCTCCCATGGCGGCTCTCTGCACCAAGTGGAAAAAGAACCAGAGTGGCGCTCTTTTGTTTTGTTTTCTTTTTGGCTGCCTGTGCCGGTCAAAAAGGTCCCGGAGGACGAGCCCCCGAAGAATGCGGTGGTGGGCAACTTCATTCACAGAAGTTTGCCTGGGAGAGGTAGGGGGTGGTTTAGAAGGGCGACCCGCATTCCATACTCAGAAAAGGGTCCCGTTAGAAGATATCACTGGGATGTTTTTTTTTTTTAACCAACGACCTCTACTAGAGTATGGTTAGTTTTGGGATTTCAAAATTCAATTTGCCTATCTCACCTGGCGAGTAAGACTGACTGAGTTATTGAGTTTTATAATTAACTTTTATAATTAACTTTTATAATTAACTTTTATAATTAACTTTTATTCTGTTCCACTCGGTCACTCTGTGGTTATTGTTCCAGGTGGCAGAGCGTCAAGGAATGTACCTGGCAAACTCATTCAATGAGATAGGCAAGCATGGCGGTGCAAGGGCAGCGAGCTCAGCTGTAGATGAGAAAGGCGAGGCCCTCACTCTTCCTGAGTTCACTTACCGACATTTGGGGAGCATGGCAACAGTGGGCCGCCACAAAGCTCTTGTTGACCTGCGTCAAGCTCCGGTACAACTCTCAATTTACCCTCCCCTCCTCCCCTCCTCCCCTCTCCTCCTCCCCTTCACTCCTCCCCTTGCTCCTCACTTTCCACCTCCCTTCCCTCTCCTAGCCACCTGCCTGACCTTACGTCTTCCCAAACCTCTCTTGCCTTCGCCCTAACGTGAGCAGCTCACATCCTCGATCTTAGTCCCTTTCTCCTCGATCTTAGTCCCTTTCTCCAAGCACGTTACGCGAGCTACCGTCTTCACCCGAATCGAACGCCCGGTCGTCATAGCTGTATTTGGGGCAACTTTTAGACCAGATGCAGCAATAATGACCAGGCGTTTTATTCAGGTGAAGATGGGAGGAAGGGTGTGTGACGATAGCGTGAACACAGTCCCAGTCCCGTCTCTAAACCCCAGATCATGCGTCCTAAGCACAGTTATAGCGCTAGGACAGAGCTTTAACTCTCACTAACCTCTGAAATGATTGTATTCGTCTGATTCATCAGGATTTGAAGGCATGAGCTGTTTACTCACTTGTGTACCTTTGAGCCGAATGGGCAGGATAAGAAGAGTTTGAACCCATGCATTTAAGAGGTTTGGTTGATAGTGATTCGTCTTCCGGGAAGCGACCGTCTTCCCCCGAACATAATGCATATGCGTTGTATTTGAAAATCCATGGTTGATAGTTTTTGAAAAAATAAAAAATTACCCAAGAGCCTAGGTCAGTGGGTACACCCATGAACTGTTGAAATACAGACCTGTCTTCGAATCCAGACAATGGAACTTGACGAGTAAAACCGACTACTAATGAATTGCTTGGGCCGGTCAGCTCAATGATAATATCTCAAGGCCATCGCCCTTTCTAAAAGAAATAATAATAATAATTAAAAAAAAAAAATGATCTAAATTTGCTTGCTTGAGCTTTTCTGTAGCATCCTTATATCGTTGTTCAGCATCGCAAATGCTATTTAATATCATCTCTTTAGGACTGTTCGAGGCATATGCAATGTATTCAAACAGACAGCAGCCTGTGTTGTATTCGTTTACAACGCATATGCTTTATGTTTGAGGAAAGACGTTAGGGACAAACCACGTCTCCATTTTGTGTGCGTGGAGATAGCTTGAATGTGCTAAAACACAGCATGAACGTGGCCAATGGCACATGAGAAGGTTTATCCTCTCCTATGAAACCACGTGCTGATTAAGCGCGTGGTTGGTGCTAAAGTTTTTGAGCGCCGCTCAATCCCACGCTCAAAGCGCCTTGAGCGAGGTTTGAGCGGGGTTTGAGCGCACGCGGATATTTTTTTTTTTGCTTTAAAAATGCTATAAAAAAAAAACAAAAAATATAGGGTTGTAGTCTTGTAGATCCTTTTCTAGATCCTTTGGAGATCTACAACCCTATGTTTTTTATTTTATTTTTTGAAGTTTTGCTATATTTTTAAAAAATCAAAAACGTAAACCAATAAACAAACAAGAAATATATATATATGAGGTTGTATATCTTTTGGAGATCTATAACCCAATTCTTTGTTTTTATTTTTTAAGTTCATATGTATTTTTTAAAAAATTGAAAAACACAAAAACCAGAAAAAAAACAAAACACACTCATAGACAACCGCCCCCACAAACACACACACGTACGCACACACACACACACATAGACAACCCCCCAACAAACACACACACGTACGCACACACACACACACACACGCACACACACACACACACACACACACACACACACACACATATATATAATAATTTTAACAATAAAAATTTAAAAGGTATATATAAAATAAATAAATAAAATAAAATAAAATAATAAAAATAATAAAAATAATATAAAATAAATAAGTATACATTAAAATAAAAAGTAAATTAAAAATAATTAATGCAAAATTAAAAATTAAAAATTAAAATAATAAAAAAAATATAAAAAAATAATAAAAAAAATAAATAATAAAATAATAAAATAAAATAAAAAATAATTATAAAAATATATTAAAAATAATAAAATAAAATAAAAATAGAAATAAGAAAACAAAAAATAAAATTAAACCAAATAAAATATAATAAAATTAAAATAAAAATATAAAATAAATAAATTAAAACAAGCTATATATTATATAAAATAAACTAAACTAGAAAAAATAAAATAAAAAAACAAAATTAAAAAAAAATAATAATAAATTAAGTAAAATAAGATAAAAATAATAAAAAATAAAAAATAAAAAATAAAAAAGTAAAAAAGTAAAAAATAAAAATAAACCAAAACAAAAAATAAATAAATCCTTTGATAATTTCCAGGATCAAAATTCTAACCAACCATTATACCATTGACAAAGACCCACCAACCTAATACAAACACAACTTCAAACCACCGAAGGATTATTCGACGCATTATAACCTCTGCAAACACAACTTGACCATGCGGGGTGCTTATACCATAGAAAACAACCACACATATGGGTTATGGGTCACCTGTTCCTTATAAAAATATAAAAAGAATACGGGAAACGAAGACACACCAAAATAAGACCGCTTAAAGTTTCTATTAACTTTTCTTACTTACGACGACTGACAACACCATCCCGAAACGACGCAGCTAATACACAAGAAAACAAACACGCGCACGAGGGAAAAGCAAATACGATGGAAAGCAAATTACCGCCATAGCTAGAACCCCTCCATATATGACGAAAAAATGACCAACTACGATCCTATTCTGGTATACTATGACCCTGCCACTACGTAATAGCCCACAACGCCAACAAAACATCACAGGACGAAGCTTGCCCTACCCTACGCATCAAGGCTACTACTACCCGGCTAGCTTCCACCCAATCTTCACGCATACAGATCTACCCCTCACATGAACCCTCCGCCTTCCCCCCCTCCCAAGGCTCGGCTAAGTTCCTATCTCATCGCAACCCGCCTGCAAGGATACAAACAAACAGCACACCACCTCAAAACGACATTACTTGCGCACAACAAAACAAACATACATACGACACGCTATAATACCGCCATAGCCTGACGGATCCAAAACGCTACACTACAAGACAAATACTAAAAAACGCCACTGACATGCCGCCAACCTGCGAGACTCCACTTGCGCATACTGGCACAAGGTAGATCAGCAGTACCAACCCCTCCATCACGATACGGGTAAGGATCCCATCTTTTTACTGATCTGCTTATCCCATCCCTCACACTACAAGCCCAATACTAACGTACCCGCTCCCCCATACTCCCACCAAAACCACACATACTGCATACACCACACGCTCATCCGTACATCGCAATTAACCCTTTCATACCCCGCAAAATGGCCTGCCACGCGGCACACCCATGGCATACACAGCACTATCACCAGCTAAGCTGTAACCTATGCACCCGTAAAGCAAAACCACTACAAATACTCCTCCCCACACACACTATACCACACCAACACCAGCACGCTGGTATACGCCGCTTGCGACCTCTCTCCGCTTCCTTCTTCCCTACTTGAGCATACCTGCTCACGAACTGATCTTGGTTCCAGGAAACGGTCTGGCACGTTACTGTGCCACGGGTGCTCTGCTTTCAGCGTAAGCCTGCTGATACTACGCTGTGTTATCACCTTCGTGATATGGCGGCGACTGATTCCACAGCAACACCAGCCATGTCCGCTCAGGTACGAACTCGCTAACACATAACTATGTACTACCTTGGAACCTTTGACCCCTTGCTTACCTACCCCCCACCCCCCACCCCGAATCCTAACAGGAGCCTATACTAAGCTAACCCCTCTGATGAGCTGCTATGGGTGCTAGGCGGCGAAAAGCGCGCTTTAGGGCGTGCACCCCCCCTACGACTGGGCTTTGCCCTTTCCTAATCTCTAACCCTCTAACTTTAACTACCTAACCTCGCTCCTACATGACCCCAGACCCCCATCTTAACCTGCAACATACCGCCTCCATAGCCTGGTTGCTATCTAACATCTAATGGGCGATATTGAGGCTGGTCCTGTTTCCCACGTTTCGTGGGATAGCTGTGTCTCGTACACAAACAACCCCCCCCCC